GCCACACTGGCAGGACACCTTTTGCATTTTAATTATGATGTATCTTGATGTAGACCTCTTTGGGTTCATCTTTCCTGGAATTCTCTGTTTCCTGGACTTGTATATCTTTTTCCTTCAACAGGTTAGGGAAATTTTCTTGCTCTCTCTCTCTCTCTTCTCCTTCCAGCACTCCAATGATGCAAATATTAGTACACTTGAAGTTGTCCAAGAGGCTCCTTACACTGTTCTCATTTTTTTTATTCTCTTTTTTTCATTTTGCTGTTCTGATTTGGTGTTTTTTGCTTCCTTATTTTCCAAATCTGATTTGATTCTTGGCTTCATCTACTCTACTGTTGATTCACTGTAAATTATTCTTTTCTTTCTTTTTTTTGTTTTATTTCTTACTCAAAGATATGTTTTCATTGATTTTTTGAGAGAGAGAAGGAAGAGGGAGAGAGAGAGAAAAAACAACAACACCACATTGATGTGAGAGAGAAATACCGATCAGCTGCTTCCCTTACGTGCAATGACTGAGGATCAAACCCACAACCTAGGTATGTATCCTGACTGGAATTGAACCCATGACCCTTTGATTCATGGAACAATACTCTAACCTACTGAGCCACACAGGCCAGGGCCCTGTAAATTATTCTTCATTTCAGTTATTATATCTTTCATTTCTGACTGGTCCTTTTTTATGCTGTTGAGGTTCTCCTAATAACCAGTGTTTTGAACTCTGTGTCTAGTAGATGGCTTATCTCCATTTTGCTCAATTCCTTTTCTGGAGTTTTGTTCTGTTCTTTCATTTGGGACAATTTTTTATGTCCCCCAGGTTTGGTAGATTGGCTTAATATAGTAGGTGTTCTGTAGGATCCAGTGGCATAGCCTCCCCTATCACCCAAGCTAGGCACTGGAGGTGTACCCCACTCTGTGTAGGCTGTGTACACCCTCCTTTAATAATTGAGCCTCGATTTCTATTGGCACATCAGTGGGAGGGATTTCTCTCCAGGCTGATCAGCTGCAAGGACTGGCTATGACCACAGATCTCTGACCATCATAGAGGATCAGCTGTGCAGAGGGTCACCTCACAGAGCAGCACTTACTTTAGCAGGACTCTAGTGCCCACTGAGTCTGCTCCTTGAATGTATATCTTGTGAAGGTTGTTGAATGGTGATGTTTCAACATGGTGTGAAGTTGTTCACCAGATGCACTGGCTCTTGGGCCTCCCAGGAGGGTCAGGCCAATGTCAGCCACTGCCTGTGTTCTGCCCGGGTGTACCCAGCTTGAGCTGCAAAGTGATGGGTGCTGCTTGGGCTGGACTTGAAGATGCCCAGGGTAGCCAAGCTGTGAACAAAGGCTGGTTTCTGCTAGTGCCAGGCCTGGGGATACTTAGCAAGAGGTAAGGGGCATACTAAGGCCAGATGCTCTTTGTTTAGGGGATTTTAGGAAAGTCTGAAGCATGAGCCAAGACAGGCAATTCCTATGGAAAAGCCACTAGAAAGGGCTTGGGTGGGCCCACAGGTTGGGTGGGGCAGGGCCTCAAGGAATCATAAATGTGGGGCAAACAGTGTGAGTCAGGTTGGTCGAGACTCAGATATGGCAACTGTGGGCTCTGTGGGGGAAGGTCTAATCAAAAGAACTATGGCCTCTGCCAGTACTTCTGTCTGGGAGAAAGCTGCTCCCCCAACTCTTGGCCTGATGCTGGACAATTCAGTTCCTCTCTGTGTGTCAGGTGCCTTTCAAGTTACTACCCCAGCACTGGAGCTCAGGGGAGTGAGTCTGAATAAGTTTGTGCATGGGTCCTTTAAGAGGAACTGCCTGGGACTCCAGCAGCCCTCTGTTTCTCAGCCTCAATCCCCTCTGGTTTTGACAGCCAGAAGTATGGAAATTTCTCTTCCTGGCACTGGAACCCAGGGCTGGGGGTCCTGCTGTGGCATTAAGCCTCCCCACCCCCTTGCTCCTCAGGGGTGACCTCTGCTGCCAAGATATCCCTCCCAATTTTATATACCACACATGAGTGTGGGAGCAGCCCATTCTGTCTCTGCCCCTCCTACTAGTCTCATGTGACTCTTTCAGTTCCCTATTTGTAGGACTTCCATTCATCCAGATTTCAGGTAGTTCTGAATGATGGTTATTCTGTAGTTTAATTGTAATTTTTATGTGGTTGTGGGAGGATTCGAGTACCACATTTACCTGCCCTGCCATCTTGACCAGAAGTCCTCCTTCACTCTCTTAACATAGTAGGTGGAGTGATTCTTTTCATATTGCAGCACTCCTGCTATTCAGAGCCTTGCATATTATCTCTTTCATTCATAGTAAATTCTAGAGTCCTCACAATGACCTACAAAGTTCTACATGATCTGGCTGTCTGTTACCTTCTGACCTCACCTCCTACTGCTTCTTCCCTTTTTCTTTACTCCAGCCACACTGGCTTCTTTGCTTTATTTTAAACATGTATTTCATAGCCACCACAGCACTTTTGCCCTGGCTGTATCTTCAATTCTTTCTCATCAGCCAACTCCATCTTCTTCCATTCTTTCTTTACACAAATGTCATCTTCCCAGTGAGGCCTATGTTTTTTCATCATGTTCCCTCTACTCACCTGGCACTTTCTTACCCTTCCCTACCCCACCCATCCCTGTAGTGTTTACCACCTTCTATACTATCCTATATAATAATCCTATATAATAAAAGGCTAATACGCAAATTGACTGAACAGCGGAACAACCGGCACTGACCACCAGGGGGCAGACGCTCAACGCAGGAGCTGCCCCCTGGTGGTGAGTGCACTCTCACAGGGGGAGCACTGCTCAGCCAGAAGCCCTGAGCTGGGCTCACAGCTGGCGAGCACAATGGAGGTGGCGGGAGCCTCTCCCGCCTCTGGCTGCGCTAAGGATGTCTCACTGCTGGCTTAGGCCTGCTCCCAGTAAGCCAGCAGTCAGACATACCCCGAGGGCTCCCAGACTGCAAGAGTGTACAGGCCAGGCTGAGAAACCACCCCCCTCAAGTGCACAAATTTTGTGCACTGGACCTCTAGTATAATATAATTATCTCATGTTTTTATTGTCTGTCTTTTCTGTTAGAGCAGATTTAATCTCCATGACAGGGCAGAAATTTTTGTGTTTTTTTTCACCATTGTATTACAAGCTCTTAGAACAGAGCCTGGGACATAGTAGGGTCTCAGTAAACACTTATAAATTTCATTGAATCACAAAATAAGTCAAAGTGATGACTAGCATTAGGCACAATGAATTGGCTGGCCCTATACTGAAAAACAGTATAAACTATAGTGGAGAAAAATCTGTCCTAGTTGTAGTTCTGTGTCACAAACCACACCAAAATTTGTGGCTAAAACAATAATTTACTATTAACTTTCACAGTTTTGGAGGTTGGCAGGCTCAGCTGAGCACGTACAGTTAAACTGATGCCTGTAGTAGGAAGGAAGTTGGGGGCTGGTCAGGTATCTCTTTTTCCAGGTGTCATTTCCACTAGTCTAGCTTGGACTTCCTCACAGGATAGCAGTAGTCATGATTTTTCACATGGTGGCTGGCATAAGTCAAGTGGCAGCTTCAAGTCTTCTTGTAGCTTTAGAAGCCTCTGAGTCATTTTCACCATTTGATATGGGAATATCACATACACATACAAAGAGGGAAGGAATTGATGACCTCCATCTTGAAGAAATGATCTCATCTGTAAATTAAGGACAAGTAATATTAGATAAGTAGACTAGCCTCTTAGGCATACTTTGGTGTGAAAGTTCGAGATACATTATTAAGGGAAATGAAAGTTGATCTAACCAAATTCATTATTTATATTAAGAATATTACATTTCCAGTTACCTCGGTTACATGTTAACTGTTTATAAGCAGAAAATACCAGTAATAAGCGAGTCTAAGATTTATGACCATAGAGAGATACTCATTCAAGTCTTTGGTTTGAATGCATGAATAGGTGATGAAAATGCCACAAAATCATTCTACACTTAATTTTTGATTTTCTACTATTATGAGATATGTATCTAATAGCTAGCATATATAAAATATACTTATTATAAATGGATTTCTAATTTTGCTTACCTGTTTGTTTTTAGTGATATAAATGTGTTTATTGACACACCTGAGAAAAATTCACCTTTTCTTTCTTTGGGGGTCAGTTCTGTCACCACCAATGTGCATCCTTTTTTGCCCTGTGATGCAGTGCAGAATGGCATTTCTAAGCTGGTGCCAGTTTCTTGGAAAGGAAAATCATGAAAGGCATTTAAAGTAACCATTTGTGCCTAGTGTTCTTACAAAACAACATTCAGTTAATCTGCTTCTGAACATTCAAAAATGAAGAATTTCTGGATTCTTTTTAAAATTGTGTCCTAATCTTATGCCAAAATGTTAGTTCTGTTTGTACTAGGGACAATCCTAGTTCATAAAAACCCTGGACTAACAGTTCTTTTTTTCCATTAATTCATATTAGCCTTGGCTAAGAAATATAACTAATTTTGGAGTTTTAATTAATTAATGTATTATTTTCACTGATTCCATCACCATAATCGCATACTAGAAAGACTACTGAACTAAAAGCCAGATGACCTGATTTTTATAATTTATATAATCTTTTTCTATTCACTTAACCTTCTCTATATATACTCTACCTTCTTTGTGGGGTATTTTAAAGATGAAATGAAATGAGGAAATGCTTTAAAAGAGTAAAAACAAATAGTATTTAAATACAAAGTGTTATAATAGAAAAAAGATAGTTGTATTTTCCATAATATTGAAGAAGCTAAAGACTTCAAAAATCTTTAAAATTTTCTGGAAACTGTAGATGATATATGTATAGTACAAAATTCTAGATCTAGTAATGAACATTTGTAAGGCACATGGTATGATGTCTATTCCTCCTGCCTCATTCCTTTTATTTTTTGTAGTAGGTGTTTTCACTTTTTCCAGATAAATTTCCTTGTTTCTCCTCCCCCGTCGTACCACCCAATACATACATTTACCCACAAATACTTTTGTATTTCTTCAAAGGGAGCCACCATTAAGAAAGATGAGCAGACTGGGGCCATCATTGTGGCTAGAATCATGAGAGGAGGGGCTGCAGACAGAAGTGGTAAGAGTTTAAATGTTAAGTGAATATAGACAAGTCATGCTTCATTTCATAGATAATATTTTTAATATTTAACTAAGAGGATAATAATCTTTTGATATAATACAACAAACAAGAAATAAAATATTTTTCTCTGTCTTTATATATGGGGACTTGTATAAATAAGTGAAAAATAAATCTCTCTACTCTCTTAGTTTACATGGGCTTCTAAGGTTACATTCAGACTTGAAAGATACTACTAAAAGCATGCAGCCTTTTTTTAAAAAAAGTAAGAATTATTTTCTATGATGGAAATTATATGCATTTCTAGACACTGAGCATGTTTTTCTTTGATGTTATAGTCTTTGATTCATTGCTATACAAATGCATGGAATCTGAAACCGGAGAAGCCAGAAGGTCTTCTTTTCAATCCTCAGATGTGTAACTTACAGTTTCTTTTGTAGGTAACACTGCTAATTTACTGAATTTCCTATTACTCAGGTCTTATTCATGTTGGTGATGAACTTAGGGAAGTGAATGGGATACCAGTTGAGGATAAAAAGCCTGAAGAAATCATTCAGATTTTGGTAAGCTGAAATTTTATTTTAAATTATCAATAAAATTAAATCACTATATATCCAACTTGGTTATGAATACAGGATTTGGATTTAGTAGTCCAGGGTTCAAATTCCAGCTCCATCACTTAATCCTTATGTGTCTTTGGAAAATACCTTAACCTTTTTATTGCCTCAGTGTTTTCAGTTACAAAATGAGAATAAGAGGAGTTAAATATCTTACTGGAGTGTTTTGAAGATTAAATGAGCAAAAGAGTTTATTATAGGGCCTATCCAAATTAGATGCCATTTTTTTGGTAATGCATTTATCTTTATCTTTCTCCCATCAATATAGCCTGTGCTTTCTAGGTATATAAAATAGTAAAACTAATTTAAATGTCTTATGAAATCCAAAACAGAATGAAATTATTTTAGTCCTTGACAATATTTATTCTCAAGTTCATTTGTAAAGATAAAATGAAGAGAAACTCTCCCTGTTACATATGAAAACATATTATGAATCTACAGAAATAAAAAAAGAGTTTAGTATTTCAAAACAGACCTCAGTATATGTGCAAATTTAGTATAGATTATGGTGGCATTTTATATTACAGGGAAAACAATGAAATCATTTTGTAAATGGTATTGGATTAATTGATGATTCAGTTAGAAAAAATAAAGTCAGTCCATACTTTATAGCACACACAAAAACAAATCCCAACAAATTAAATATTCAAGTTTTTAAAAATCACAAAAAGTAGAGTAAGACGTTAATGCTGTAAAATTCAAGTAGAAAAAGAACTGATATTACTGTAGAAAACTTTCTGAACAGAAAAAGATGTCATACATGAAACAGACAAATGAGCCCTGGCTGGCGTGCTCAGTGGTGTACCAAAGGGTAATGGGTTTGATTCTCAGTAAAGGGCACATAGCTGAGTTGCAGGTTCAATCCCCAACCCTGTTCTGGGCATGTGTGGGAAGGAATCAATTAATGTGTCTCTCTCACATTTATGTTTCTCTCTCTCTCTCTCTCTCTCTCTCTCTCTCTCTCTCTCTCCCCCCCCTCCTCCCCCCCTCCTCCTCCTCCTCCTCCTCCTCCTCTCTCCCCTTAACCCTCTCTAAAAATCAATGGAAAAAAATATCTTTGGGTGAGGATTAATAACAACAACAAAAACACTTAGACATGAGATTGCAGGAAAAAAATTTCAATATATATGAAAGAAGGCTAATACTTTAATATATGGAGAGTGTATAAAAATTAATAAGAAAAAACATTTTTAGAAAAATTGACAAAGTATATGCACAGATAATATACAAAAGAAAACATGATGTCTGAAAAATATTGGACTGGTGGGGATTTAAAAACTTGATAATGGCAAGAGTTACCCAGGTTATAGGGAAATAAATATGTTTATATTATTTTGGTAGTAGGATAAATTAATAGACCTTTTTGAGCTGGCTACCTAATATTTTCAAATTTTTTAATTTGCATACCCTTTTTGTTGTTATTGACAGTACTAGAGGCCCAGTGCACAAAATTCATGCACTGGGAGGAGTGTCCCTCAGCCCAGCCTTCACCCTCTCCAATCTGGAACCCCTCGGGGGATGTCCGACTTCCAGTCAGGGATCGGGCCTAAACCAGCAGTCAGACATCCCTCTCACAATCTGGGACTGCTGGCTCCCAACCGCTCGCCTACCTGCCTGCTTGATTGCCCATAACCGCTTCTGCCTGCCAGCCTGATCACCCCCTAACCACTCCCCTGCCAGCCTGATTGATGCCTAACTGCTCCCCTGCTGGCCTGATCGCCCCTAACTGCCCTTCCCTGCAGGCCTGGTCCCCCCCCAACTGCCCTCCCCTGCAGGCCATCTGTGGCGGTCATCTTGTGCCCAATGGGGGTGGCCATCTTGTGAGAGGGCATGACAATCAATTTGCATATTACCTCTTTATTATATAGGATTACAGATGTCCTCCATTTCCCCCCACCCTTTTTCACTCCACCTAGCCATTGTCATACCCCAGGCCTTTACCACACTACTGTCCATGTCCATGGGCTATGCATATATGCATATATGTTCTATGCTTAATCTCTTCCCAACCCCAACCCCCTCCCCTCTGAGATCTGTCAGTCTGTTCCATGCGTCTATGCCTCTGGCCCTATTTTGTTCATCAGTTTATTGTGTTCATTAGATTCCACATATTAGATATATGGTATTTGTCTTTCTCTGACTGGCTTTTTTTGCTTAGCATAATAATCTCCAAGTCCATCCATGCTGTTACAAAGGGTAAGAGATCCTTCTTTATTACAGCCACATAGCATTCCATGGTGAAAATCCACTACAGTTTGTTAATCTACTTATCTACTGATGGGCACTTGAGCTGTTTCCAGATCTTAACTATTGTAAATAACACTGCTATGAACATAGGGATACATATATTATTTCTGATTGGTGTTTCAGGATTCTTAGGATATACTACTAGAAGTGGGGTCACTGGGTCAAACGGCACTTCAATTTTTATTATTTTGAGGAGACTCTATACTGTTTTCCATAATGGCTGCAGCAGTCTACATTCCCACAAGCAGTGTACTAGGGTTCCCTTTCTTCACATCCTCACCAGCACTTGTTTGTTGATTTACTGATAGTAGTCATTCTGGCAGGTATATGGTGATACCTCATTGTGTTTTAATTTGCATCTCTCTGATGATTAATGACATTGAACATTTTTTCATATGCCTATTGGCCATCTGAATGTCATCGTTGGAGAAGTGTCTATTTGGGTCCTCTGTCTATTTTTAAATGATATTATTTGTCTTCCTAGTGTTGAGTTGAATGAGTGCTTTATATATTTTGGAAATTAACCATTATCAGAGATGTATCATTGGTGAATATGTTCTCCCATACCATGGGTTCCCCTTTCATTTTGTTGATGGTTTCTTTTGCTGAGCAGAAGCTTTTTACTTTGATATAGTCCCATTTGTTTATTTTTTTTCTTGCCCTAAGATATGTATTTGTGAAAATACTTCTAGTTTATTGTCTGAGATTTCCCTGCATATATCTTCTTCCAGGCTTTTTATGGTTTCACAACTTAAATTTAAGACTTTTACCTATTCTGAGTTTATTCTGTGTATAGTGTAAGTTGGTGGTTTAGTTTCTTTTTTTTTGCATGTACCTGTCCAATTTTCTCAAAACAATTTATTGAAGAGACTGTCTTTACTCCATTGTGTGCTCTTGCCTCTTTTGTGTAGTATTACTTGACCATAAAGATGTGGGTTGATTTCTGGGCCCTCTATTCTATTCCATTGGTCTATATGCCTGTTCTTGTGTCGGTAATAGGCTGCTCTGATTGCAGTGACTTTGTAGTATGGTTTGATATCTGGTATTGTGACTCCCCCATTTTTTCTTCTCAAGATTACTGTGACTGTTGGTGGTCTTTTTTGCTTTTATATAAATTTTTGGAATATTTGTTTTAGATCTGTGAAATATGCCGTTGATTTTTGTGTGTGTTTTTTGTTTGTTTGTTTGTTTGTTTTTGTTAATCCTCATTCGAGGATATTTTTTCCATTGATTTTTAGAGAGTGGAAGGGAGGGAGGGAGGTGGAGAGAGAGAAAGGAACATCGATTGAGAGAGACACACCAGGGTGGGTGTTCAAATGTGCAACCCAGCTATGTGTCCTTGAACCCGCGACCCTTCAGTGCATTGGCTGATGCACTGAGCAACACCAGCCAGGGTGCCATTAATTTTTTAACAGGGTTTGCTTTGAATCTATAGATTGCTTTGGGTTATATATATGTTTTAATAATGTTAATTCTTCCAATCCATGAATACAGTATATGCTTCCACTTGTTTGTATCTTTCTCGATTTGTTTTGCAATCTCCTATAGTGTTCTGACTACAGGTCTTTTACCTCCATTAAGTTTATTCCTAGATATCTTTTTTTTTTCTTGCAAAGGTAAATAGGATTGTATTTTTAGTTTCTCTTTCTGAGAGTTCATTGCTGGTGTATAAAAATGCCATCAATTTCTGTATGTTAATTTTCTATCGTATTAATTTGCCAAATTCATTTATTAAATCTATCAATTTTCAGTGGAGTCTTCAGGGTTTTCTAATACAATTTCATGTCATGTGCTAATAGTACAGTTTAACTTCCTCCTTTCCAAATTGGGTGCCTTTTCTTTTTTGGTCTGATCACTGTGGCTAGGATTTCCAGTACTATGTTGAATAAGAGTAGTGAAAGTGAACATCCTGTCTTATTCCTGATCTTAAAGGAAACACTTTTAGTTTTTGCAATTGAGTATGATGTTGGCTATAAGTTTGTCATACATGGCCATTGTTACATTGATATATGACCCCTCTATTCCCACTTTGCTGAGAGTTTTTTTTAATCAAAAATGGGTCCTGGATTTTGTCAAATGCTTTTTCTGTGTCTTTTGATTTGATTATGTGATTTTTATACTTCATTTTGTTTATGTGATATATCATGTTTATTGATTTGCGAGTATTATACCAGCCTCGAATCCCCCAAATAAATCCCACTTGGCCATGCTGTATGATCTTTTTAATGTATTGCTGGATCCGATTTGCTAATATTTGTTGAGGATTTTAGCATCTTTATTCATCAAGGATATTGGCCTATAATATATTCTCTCTGTGTATTGTCTTTATCTGGTTTTGGAATTAGGATAATGCTAGCCTTGTTAAAATAGTGTGGCCTTAGCCAGTTTTGCTAAGTGTTTAGAGCCCAAGGACTGAAAGGTCACAGATTCGATTTTGGTCAAGGGCATATACCTCGGTTGCAGGCTCAATCACTGGCCCGGGTCAGTGTGCGTGTGGGAGGCAACCAATCAATGTGTCTCTCTCACATGGATGTTTCTCTTTGTCTCTACCCTGCCCTTCCACTCTTTTTAAAAATCAATGGGAAAAATATCCTCAGGTAAGGATTAACAATAACAGCAAAGAAAAGAATGTGGATGTCTTCCCTCCTCTTGAATTTTTTGGAGTAGTTTGAGGAGGATAGGTGTTAGTTCTTCTTTGA